CGGCGGAGAAGGAAGCATGATGTCGTTAATTTTCATCATATTACGCGTCCGTCGGCAGCAATAGCACGCGTGAGGGAGAAATAAACAGACTGGCACCCAATGCGGTTTGATGCTGTGGGTGCGATAGAAAGCAAGGTTAAGAGGCTACTTTCTTCTTGGTCTATGATTAGGCTCTGCTAAGGGTAGCTCACTAATAGAGGATCTTGACAGCGGTTATGATTGGTCAGATCAGCTCACCAGCTTTTAGCATTGATCCGGACCCGGGTAGGTTGTGAAGACGCGTTCATCAGCCCAACAGATCATTCCACCAGCCAAATATCCTGTATCAAATATATCAAATGTCTTTTCAAATCCACGTTTTACCATTTGTTTGATTTGTTTGGCAGTTTGTTTGATTGGATTTGATTTGTGGGCAGCGCTGGTGGCGTGTCAAATGCTGATCCAGATGCCCCAATCTTGCAAGCTCCTGAAATGGTCTTAAGGATTCCGGAATAAAGACACGATAAACCTCATCTATATAGTATTCTCCAAATAGTACAGTTGGTGTAAACTGCTGATATCCAAGTTCCTCAGTGGATTTTTTGAAGCGCGTATCAGCATCGCGCGGCCTGTAGAAGTCGGGAACCCATGAGCGCAAGTCCATCGACTTTCGGTATGTAAAGTACGAAATGATGAGCTCCTATCCCTCGAACATGAGGGTCCAAACTGCGAGTCGCGTATAAAGATCGCCTTGGAAGATGACATAGTCGCGCGGAAACAAGGCGCGAACGATGGGCTCCGTAAAGGCCACCCGTCCATATACTATGTCCAATGGGTGAGTATAGTATATCCCCGTACTGCTTTCTAACTGTAAAGATAAGGGAAAATGCATGATGATGGTTTGCCCCTCGAAATGTCTGAGATTGAGGATGCCGTTTGCACGGGTCAAATTAGTTGTCCATTCAGCTGACACATTCTTGAATTATATGGCAGTATCGGGATGTTTGAGCTCTAGAAAGAGCTGGCCTGCAATACCACGCTTGAAAGGGCTCTTCACACATCTCAAGGGCTCCAGAGTATGCGCCAAATGTGCCTCACAGAATAGGGCTTCTTTTCTTTAAGGATTCAAAACCCAGTACTTTGCGAATGCCTGAAGCAACACTGCTAATGGCCTCTTCCTCGATGGCCTTTCCTTCAGCCGCCTCTTCTCCCGCCGTTTTTCGCTCAGCATCTTGAGAGAAGGCAACGCGAGGCAGAGACAATCCCATACGCTGCATGTCCTTGGATTATTCGTCATCGGGGCTCATAGTGTCTTGTTTGTGGTACGTTATCATCACCTTCAAAACGGCTGTGCGGACATAATGAGCAATTAGAGGATATAATATACCCAAGTCACCAACCGACGATTCAGGCCTGGTGAAGAAGTTGAAAGCTTCTTGAATCCAATGAACCACCGCAACAAAGTTGAAAGGATCAGGAGCCCCATTAGGCGACTTGTCTGTGATATCATCGATAAGATATCCCTAGACAAAACAATGATCAGTGTCATTGCTGCTGAATTCTACAGACCACGAGCTAGCTGGCCCACTGCTGCGTGCCCTGGAGTACTTATGGGAGAACCTATCTGGATATTTCTCAAGGGTTTTGGGGCACAAAGATCTCGTATTCAAGATGGGTATTCTTCAGCATGACCAGGAAAAACCCGCACAGAACAGGAGCTCTCCTTCCGAACCAGTCCGCAGTGCATATCTTCAGAATCGCATGGTTTATATCTCTCATTGACGAGGTATAATCAGGTCGAAGACTGAGTGCTTTTTCTTTATCATCCTCACTAACCATACCAAAAATACCAAAATAACGATCCCGAGGCACAGTACAGCCATGGGAGTAGAAAAACATCATGCACATTGGCAAGTCAGCTTGATCCATCTCGACTCTGCAAAGGAGTAGTTTGACTGTGTCGTTAAACTCACGGCCATATGCGTGGACACCGATGAGTCAACATGAACGAAGAAGACATCTTGGCTGAGTCCAATGGCCATTCAACTCCCTTGTACCATGCGGTACCTGCCCAGAGCTGTCCCTAAGGGATGTGTCAATGGCCAACGATTATGACTATATTGCGTCTAAGAACAAACTCTTGCATGAACTAAAGGCGGTGAAATCATGGCGCAGAGATAAGTTCAAGATACCGCGCAGGCTATTCGTCTCCTTTACCATCTTTAATTGCATCTGCCGCATTGTCTGTTAGGTATGAGACAACTATGAGCTCTGTCTAGCTAAAAGCAGCATCATTCTCAGCGCCTCCTATAAATTATATTGCAGTCGGTATGATGTCATTCAGGTCGATTACAATGAACGACACGTATCAAAAACACACTTCACTTGACGCTATATGGGTCGATTGCCTGGTGTTTCTGTTTGATCTTGGATCCAGGATTCCCCACAGCTATACGCATAGGCAGTTATTCCGCTAAGGTGACGTAGGTATGAGCTCGTTAAGGGGTGCTTTATACGTCAGATATCCCAGGGATAAAATGTAAAGAATCTGGCTCGAGGTGATTAGTCGCGACGAAGCACAAGTCTTGCTATCTGCTGGCGGATCTGTGACTCTTGATAGACTTTTTCAGCTTGCCTTATCTCTTTCTGGTTGTAAATCATCTATGTATACACGTGTTCAGATTTAAATGCTACGTGTCCTTACAGATAAGCTTCCATTAACACGATGTGGTCTATGCTCCTCTCACTTACAATGTAGCTCTACCAATCAACGTTATCAAGAACCCTGCAACTTGGCAGTTATCAAAGTCTGCAAATGTATAAAGAAAGAAGTGTTTTTCAGACAAAACTTATTTAATTATCCTCTCTGCCTAGCATTTATTGATTTTCATGCTGCCTTCCTTTGCCCTATTGTAAGAGCTATTAATTGAAACACCAGGTCTGACTGATAAAAGGCCTTTGTGTTTCCAAGGGCCACCATGCACAAGCCACCCGAGAGTGTTTATTTCTCTCTCGAGTCATTGCTGGCAGACATTGACGACCTTCGAGTGGATTTCGGTTTGTCTTTTTCTGGACCCACATCTCCGTCTATCTCCGACGATAGCGGTACGTATTCAATATGCAGTTGTCATCATCCATTATTGAGACCTGATAGAAGAAATTTGGAAATGCCTCGACACCTTGGATTCATTTGAGGGCGAGAATGAGTCTACCACTGCAAGCCACAGTTGCGACAGTCCAATCTGGTCTGAGTCATCAGCATACGATGAATCAGAGGCAGCGCACAATGATGGCTTCCCCAGCACTGGGCGTAATCTCAACATTGAACAGCATTCCCTACTACCCCAAGTAGGCTACCAAGGCAAGAGGCCAAATAACCGCCATCACCGATATCATTCGATAAGAACTTCACAAGCAGATGAGACATTTGAGAACTATTTTATGCAGGTAATTTATGTTTTTATTATAGTGAATTTCTTCCTACCTTTTTAGTTTTCCTCTTTCTGCTTTACATACTCTTACCTATATTTGACTACTGACTCACTCCGCCTCTATTCGAGCTTTTGCATTTCATTTACTGTCTATTCGTCGCGTGATCTTCTCACTTTTTATTTCCGTCCTGAATTAACCTTTATCGAATAGGGAAACAAATCCCGTTCTCTACCCTCTGCGTCTCCCGCAAGACTGTCGCCATGTCGAAATGGAACAACCAGCGATCAGCTTCATGACATGCCGGAACTTGACCAGAATATGTCTGGACCAATCTTCCAGAAAGAAATTAGAAGCGAGGCACACCATGCCATACATGAATCTGTTTGGTCGAAAGTTGGATCAACTTTCGCCAACATGATTCCGGCTTCTCAAAGTGAAAAAGAGCCTGTTGCTTACATTCTGCTTGCCAGAAAAGAAGGACCCTTTCCCGATAGAAGTGAGGAAATGCTGCCAGGTGGCTCTTTTCCTCCTTCAAGAGTGATAACCACTGGATCTAAATCGACAAGAGATGTCTATGGGATAGATCCACAAGGTTACAAGTCTAGACGAGATCAAGAACAAGATGTATGGGCATCAGTATCAGGGCTCGACGACTACCATAATGCTCTGTGTGTCCAGGGAGGCTTGAATTCCCAGTCTTTCAGGCCATCCTTTCGCCGATCACATGTATGAGATGTGCTTCATCAGACTTGGCAAAGGAGTGGTACCTATCGTGGAGCTACCTTGGGACTTACATGGATCAGTTCAGTCCAGGGGTACTGTGATGTAGTGTTAATGTTGTGGAAAGGACGCCGCGTTTTATATTACTGTAAATGAAATCAGGGTCTGACATAACGAGGAAAGCTCAACTAGAGAGTCTACTTTTTACTTATAATTGAATTAGTAGAGCATTTTCAGTATATTAATAATCTTATCTGCTATTAGACAATACTCTTATATGCATAGCAATTAAGTAGCTGAAAGAGATGTATTGCCTTACAGGCACATGCAGTTATTAAGCCAAGAGAATTAATCACACTGGGACTATCCTTCCCATATTGAAAAGCCAATTGGCGATAAATTTTACTTTTTAAGAAACAATTAATCGACGTCACAGAACTTTAAGAATTAACTTTAAAGCCTCTATAAGTGTCTATCTACTTGTTACCCTAATAATAACCCTCAGATTGCGTTTGTATTGCGTCTATTTCCTCAGATATCAATCGCTTTATCTCTTCCAAGCATAGACCTTCCTCAGCCTTAATGAGATCTGTCGACCCGCCTGGATGGAAGGCAATGTTTGGTTCGTCAGCTGGGTCATAATACATTTCAACATATGGGTGTTTTAAGGCTTCTTTAGCGGTAATACGCTTGGAAGGATCAAGAGTCAACATCTTTTGAAGTAGATCGATCGCTTGACTCGACGCTGTTGGGAACAAGTCTCGGAATGGTACTGGGCTCTTGTAGGGCATAGATAGTATGTAGTTCCGAGCGTGTGGAGAACGAATCGAACGGCAAAATTCAGCTGTCGGCGACCCGAGGATATCGAAAATTGTTGACAGCTGATGAAGAACTACACCAAGCGGAGAACGTCAGCGTATATTCAACTAAGCTTCTTCATGAGAAGGCAGTTCTCCTTTGCTCATGAAGACATAGTTCTCTTACAATGCTTGCCGGGGAAGATAGGCCTGCCCCTGAGGATCTCAGCAAAGATACACCCAAGCGACCAGATATCGATTGCATTAGTGTATGTTCCGGGACTCCACATGAGCTCTGGCGCTCGATACCACCGAGTTACAACATATTCGGTCATGAAGCCTTGGGATTGGTGACTAGACTTGGTACTCCGAGAAAGTCCAAAATCACATATTTTTAAGTCGCAATCCTCGCTTAGCAGGATGTTACTGGGCTTAAGATCCCGGTGGATGATATTGAGAGAGTGCAATGCTTTCAAAGCACACAATGACTGATATATCAGAAATTGGCCATGATCATCAGTAAGAAGCTGAGACTTGATAGCTTTATGTAAATCTGTGTCCATTATTTCCTAAGCGGTTAGAAATAGAGTTAGTATAAAACCATTAAAGATGCAATATATAAGGTAGATTTCAAGATAATATAAAAAAACATCTAGGAGGGTTTGTTACCTGGACTATATATATTTCAGTTAATTCGCTATAACAATAAGGCCTCTCGATATCCAAAATGGATATAATGTTCTCGTGACTGATGCGTCTTAAGAGTTTTATCTCACGAAGAGCTCTCAAGCAAAATATTGGGATATTGGGTAGTTCTATTCTCTTGATGGCGACCTTTTGACCTGAAGGTCTGTGAACAGCAGATCTAGTAGCGACTAGTCAGTATGAGTGCGAGAAATAAGACATTTTACAACATACCGAACAATGCCATATGCGCCACTGCCTAGAATCGAGCCTATGTGGTACTTATTGCTAACATTGAAGCCACTAAAGTTACTGTCGGCCATGTTTTTTTCCGGGTAAGGAATAGGAAAACTGTTAAGGATAAAGAAGTTAAAAAATTGACATAAAATTGTAAAGATGCAATAAGTTATTTTCTGTAAGGACGATTTATTACAATACTAGAATTTATGATACAAGCTATAGGTCTTCTTAAATTATATTTATAAGACATTCTAGTATAAATAATGCCAACAGTCTCTTTAACCCAGATTGTAATGCTTCTATTTAAACACCACTGTGTCAGCAAGAGTCTTAACCGTTATAAGGTTAGTGTCTTCAGGACCTTGCTTTAGACACGTTATCTTTAATAGGACCGTGCTCTAGACACGTTGTCTTCAAGAGGACCGTGCTTCAGGCATATTATCTTTCCCTCTTAGAAGAAATAAACAGATTGGGGTTTTATGGATCTAAAAAAAAATAATAAAAAAATATATATAATTTTATTATAAGAAGTCCTTTAATAATTTACCTCTTAATTACTTTAAGATTATATAATATATAGTTTATATAACTTTGATTTCCTAAAATAGATATAATATATAGCCCTCTTTGTTTTAAACTTTAAATAGTTATTATTATAAAAAGTAAGTTATTCTCTTTGTTTCCAAACTCAAAAGCTTGTTTCAGTTCAAACTTTATATTTAACAGGTGTTAACATAAGTAGCTTTTTGCTAACAAGGCACAATCTTTAGTAGAGACTAGCGATTGCTGGCATGTCTGGATTGGCAGTTGTAACCATTTTTGCAGATCAAGCAATGCTTTGGCAGCTTTAGAGTGAAACAATCTAAACAATATACACGTGTCCGTTTTTGAAACAGATGTCATCAACTGGCCGCAAAGGAGCGGGAGGAATCTTTCAATTTAGGACTTTGTATCAACTTATATAAAAGGAGGACACCTAGTGTCTCACAGAAATTGTTTAATCATTATCTATTACTCATTCAACTCTCAATAGCACCAGTCTATCAAATTACACAACCACCCATTATTATTTTCTTAGTCTTCAAAATGGCCCCTATGATGAAGTTCTTTTACGCTGGTCTTCTCGCAGCCAGCACTTTCACCTCAGCCGTATTTGCCAGCCCCATCGACAATATTGCCGTCGTCGTCGAGTCCAGAGGTGAGACCGATGAATCCCATAACACAGTCTCCAAACCCTGTATCCCCTGAAATGAGCAGAGATTCGTTCATCGAGCGGAGCTAACCTTAAATCACACTTACAGATGTCAAATACCTGAGCGAGGGCGTCAACACCCCCATCGGTATCGATATCGCCAACGCCGTCGCCGTCGCCGTCCGCAACGTCGATAAGGATGCCGCCTCTCTCGAGAAGCGTGTCTTCACTTCCCCCCATGTCCGCAAGGCCTTCAAGGTCGTCGCCGGCAATATGATCAGTGCCGCCTCCTGGGCTTTCAACTTTTGGGTCGAGGAGGACTACACTGGCAAGTCCACCCTCTGGTACAGCGGCCTCACTGGTGGCGGCGTCACCAGTCCTAAGATCGGCGTCGAGGGCGCTACTTTCATCAAGAAGAGCGGTACTGAGCTCGACATCAAAGTCCCCTTCCTCGTCAGGGGCTTCTATGCCGGAAAGGAGATTGTCGTTCACTTCATTGTCCGAATCCTCAGCGACGCTGGTGAAACTTCAGTCCAGTACTTCTACGGCCGCCCCACGGCCACGATCGCCGGTCAGAATGCTCCTGTGTCCAGCTGGGACTTTGTTAACACCAAGTAAATCCTTTCTTATGTGACTTAAGAAAACAATAAAAGGAGCCACAAAGTAAAAGCAAGAGTGGATACGTTATCTCTTGTACTCTTATGTTTATTCTTAAGGGATTCTTGGTCAAAAGGCAATACAGTAATTTATCTATTATAACATTAGTTAGCAGCTATATATATTAAATATAAGACTCTGTATTGCAAGAACTAGCTTACCATTAGATATTGTAAGTGACTTATTTAAGCGGATTAAGCCCTAAAAGAGGCATCATCAATCTGAATCTTGGTCCGCGACAGCTTAGCAATGCAAATCAAGTATAATAGTCAATAATAGTTCCTCCTGCCATGGCTCGTTTAATCTCATAAGACAAGTCTCTGCACAAGATTGTAACCAGTCGAGAGAGTCATATTTACAGAGGAAATGCCTCGGTTGCTGTTTTAAGCACATACGTTTAACTACAGCTAATGTTGGATGATGGGAGCAAGTATTACCAATGGCAAAGCCCCAAATCCGGACGAATGTTTTGGACAGCTACACTGGCTAAAGAACCGAGGAAAAGTGGGCGCGGTATTTAGAGGGTATTGGTCGTATATGATCCAGGCTCGGATTACATTGACTGGTCTTTCTAAAGTTTACGGTAGAGGCTTACTCATGAGGACTTGATGGTGACCAGGCAGTGGTGCGAGTAAGACTTCAAATGCGATGGGTAACCTACGTTTGCCGTGATATTTTTCACATTGACGCTGTTTTCATGAGCAATGGGGAAAAGAGTACCATGTTGGAATGATATATGTAGGCGACCCATGTCTTGGCGCCTTGAATTTCGTGAATGGAGATGTGGCCTTGTTACGATGCTTAACTGCCCACCTCATAATGAAAGTTCGTATCCTCGGGCTATGGTTGGCAGGGCGTATGCGCGTGTTCGATTATACATTCGATATTCTATTGTCGTGATCAACACATTCCACATTGTTTTCATTGGATTGCGTTTAACGATTTGTTGAAGGCTTTGTAACACTTTATTGCGAGCCATGGGTTACCCTAATGCTAGAGTCGCATTCTGCAATAAGACCGGCATCGCACTTCTGCTCTACATGCTTGAGTAGGGCTTGAGATCACAATTGGATGCAACTCGTTGAAACGCTCCTCTTCGCTAACCTCTGCGACTATTTAGCCTATAGACAGATGTCTGTGTCCTTGCTCTGGTGTATTATTCTTGGCCACTACGTAGCCTCATCCACTATTCCCACCCGGAATAGAAGCCTATTCCACAGTCTCTCCGTATTCATCTCCTTCTTATCTCGAGACATGCTTTAGTATCCAGTCTGGTCTCCGTCCCGATACGCATCAACTCGGGCCCTGGTTTTCCCGCCTCAGTCTCAATTCATACTTTGCCAATAGTTCTATGAGTATCATCTTGATTTCACATATAGCAAAGAACCTTCCAGGGCACACGCATGCTTTCCATGGTTGAAGATCAGATAGTCAGGACCTGTAGTGGCTGCCTGGTGTTGTGACTCATGTCCTTTAATGGATCGGAGATTCGAGTACCGGAACCCGTCAAAGATCAGAGGGGACGGGTTCGTTAAGTTAGAGCTAAAGTTTGGCGAGAATGTTGGCGTCTCTTCTGACATGCTTTAGATTGTCAGCACAGTGAACGATGGCAAGAGGAAGGGTAGGGAAGTACTGGATTGCGTGAGCGGGAAATGCTATAGATGTCCCTTTGGGTAGCTTGATACCATTTGATAATAACATTGACTTCATGACACGTCTGCTTGGAGTAACTGAACTCTTCAGTTAGTACCTCGTGTGTTAACAAGGATATGTATTTTAGGCTTACCGAAGGTTGAAAGGCACCAGCGCTGGACTTCTCGAATGAAGCTATCTAATTTCTGGAGTCTAGACAAAGCATCCTTGTTGATGCACATGTCTGTTGTATCGACTTCGGATCCAAAGACGTTGTGTATCTCTGACCTCAACGGCTCAACATATTCTGGCCGTTTCGCGAGCTCCCACACTACCTTGGTGAGAGCCATGGCTACCAAGGGGACAAGATCAGAAACAGAGCACGAATATTGTGGTTCATATAACTTACTCGTAGTACGGATCGCAGCAAACGAGACCAGCATTTGATCCAGCCCTACCCGCTCTGGTGTTCTAAGCTTCTCAGGTAAATGCCGAAGAAGCCATGTGATAAAGGTCCCTCGCCCCCCAGTCTGATCTGCCAGTGGTACATCTACTTGATCTTGCTTTCCATCTTTTTGCAAAGCTTGCGAGATCAAAGGAGCCATTATCTCACCTGCGAAGCGTAAATGTCTTCGCACTGAACGGACACTGGGTAGAAACGAGAGAATAATTGGTCGCCGCACGGGACTCCAGGTATGGAGCTGGTCGCGAATTGAAACACATTGAACAGTGGTTTGGTTTGGTTTGGTTTGGTTTGGTTATCCTACGCGGTTCTGGTCGCTTAAGCGACTATRCCCGGTTAGCGGGGTCCGGCGAACAGCCGAAGCCCCGCGGATCAGTGTTGATCCGCGTTGCCCCACTTCGCCAACGTCTAAACGATGACCARCTGTCCCCAGAAATCCCGCTTTTCTCTCTCTAACCACTATTTACATTTGCTGGCTGGCCCATGTAGACAGCGGTTCCATACTGATCC